AAGTTAATCAAGCCTTTGATTGGTGGTAGTGGGCTCATAAAAACTTGTGGAAAGTCACTCCTTCTAGGTTTTATTATGATCTTTTTTTCAGAGAATTAAACAATTTTATTGATTGATTGATTGACTCTGTGTGTGTGTGTGTCTATGTGCATGTGTGTGTGTGTGTGTGTGTGTGTGTGCGTGTGGTGGGGGGCATGCCATGGTACCTGTATGGGGGTCAGAGGACAACTCACAGGATTCCTTGGTTCTCTCCTTCCTCTGTGTAGGTCCTGGGGATCAAACTCAAGTTGTCAGACTTTATCTGCTGAGGCATCTCACCAACTGCCTTCATGTTTTTTTAGTGAGTGCAGAAATTACATTATGTGTATGTATAAGCATTTTGGGTTGTGGTGGTGTGTATGCAGTTGTGTCAGATTGTTACTTCTTGGTATGTTCCTGGGGTATGTGTGACCCTGTGTGTACCATGAGCAGGTATAATATGGGTGAGTTACCTTAGATCTTTCAATGGTTTCTTCTCTGTACCTGACCAATGTCAAGGACCCCAGAGTCCCATGGTCTTCTATAACCCAGAATGGCTGCTATAGGTGACTTTCTCTTCTGGTTATGTGCATGCAGTCAGTCTCTGGGAGTGAATCCCTTCTTAGATATGAACTAGTCTCTTTGCTGGCCTCTCTCTAGGTCCAGCCCTGAAGCGTATGATGTTGTCATACAGAGGAAAGACTTTGAGCAAGCAGGAATTCAATATCAGGCCTGTCACTGCTTTTGTGGCTTTGAGTAACCCTCTTGGAACCTCAGTTTCCCCCAGTAAAGGGGGATGATAATGCCTCCCCTATACAATTGTCATGATGTTTCAATGATATGTGTAGAGTTTATTAATAAATTATAAATCTTTAAAATTTTATTTATTTATTTATTTACTTATTTATTTATTTATTTATTTATTTAGTGTGTGTATGTGTGTGTGTGCCACAGCACATATTTGGAGGTCAGAAGACAACTTATGAGAGTCAGTTCTCTCCTTACACTATTGTAGAACTCACCTGCAGTAAGTATCTTTACTTACTGAGACATCTCAACAGCCCAATAAATTGTAAAGATCTTACCTATTCTTTTGATGAGGCAAGGCCCTATGCTAGGCTTTGTGATAGATCTGAAAGGGATAACACATGGAACAGCCCTACATACCCTAGTGTCAGCACAGACAGCCCCACTGCAGTGCTCTACGATGTCATGTTCTGCTTGGAGCATTCAAAAGAACCGAAGTTCCAGTCTTTCCTTCTCTTAACTAGCTCTACACAGGCTTGAGAGTCCTGGGTGGGTTCTCCCCTGGAGTTTTAAGATGGTGTCTGTAGGAGGAGGGAGAGGAGTGGTCATCCCAGCAGGATAGACAGGAAAGGGAAGGTAAGTGAAGAGCACCTCAGCAAGGGAAAGTGGCAGCATGATGGCCTTAGCCCTGGACACCCTGGTCTCTTGTTCATTTATTCCCAGGATGCAGGAGCCCTCCCAGGATGGCTACAGAGTTTTGACTTCCTCACTCTCTCCCTTGTCCAGGCAGAAAGGCACTTGCTTGTGGTCCCATAGAGGACAGATGATAGCACTAATGACTGGAATTGGGGTGTCTGATTCCAAGTCTCTAAGTTACCTCATGGTATCCCCCCATTTTCTCTTGCCCCAGGCAGAGAGTAAACTTTTAAATGTGTATTTATTTACTAGATTCAATAAAGTTAAAGGTTTGGGGCTAGAGAGATAGCTCAGCAGTTAAGAGCACTGGCTGTTTTTGCAGAGGATCCAGGTTCAGTTCCCAGCACCCACATGCCAGCTAACAACTGTGGGTAACTCCAGTTCTAGATGACCCAATGCCCTCTTCTGACCTCTATGGGTATTGCACCACATGGGTGTACTTGCAGGCAATACATACGTACACAGAAAATAAAATGATAATTTTTTTTTTTAAAATTAAAGGTTTATTTTATTCATGTGTATATGTATCAGTGTGTATATGCCACTTGTGTGCATGCCTGTGGAGGCCAGAAGAGGGTGTCAGAACCCCTGGAGCTGGAGTTAAAGGCTGTTGTGAGCCCCCATATGGGTGCCAATAATTGAACTCTGGTCTTCTGGGAAAAACGGCAAGTCCTCTTAGCTGCTGAGTCATCTCTCCAGACCCTATATTAACCTTTTGTTTTTTTGGACTGGGAATGTAGCTTAGTTGGTACAGTACTTGAAACCTAACATGCACGAATCCCTGGGTCTGATCTCTAGCACTGCATAAAACCCAGCATGGTGGTGTACACTTTTAATCCCAGCACTTGGGAGGTAGAAGCAGGAAGATTAGAAGTTCAAGGTCATCCTCAGCTACATAGAAAGCTAGAGGGCAGCCTGGAATAGCTAGGGGAGCACCTTTATACAAGCTGAGTGTAAGCTTTTATTTTTATTTTTTGGTCTTTTTGAGACAGGGTCTTCCTGTAGTCCCAGCTGGAACTCGCTATGTAGACCAGGCTGGCCTTGAACTCACGAGTGTAAGCTTTTTTTAAAAAAAATTATTTTTATTAATAAAAATTTATGTGTACGAATGTATTGCCTGTATGTATACTCACCGTGTAATGACTGCAGAGGTTAGAAGAGGGCATCTGATCCCCTAGAACTGGAGTTACAGAAAGTTGTTAGCCTCCATGTGGGTGCAAGAGTAGTCAGTGCTCTTAACTTCTGAGTCCCTGGCAGGTGAACTTTTGTCTCAGATTCTGCCCTTAGGTGAGTACTATAGTCTTAGATGTCACAACTTCCCAAATAAACTTGTAGCAGCTGGATCAGGCCTCGACCAAACTCGGGAATGCCTATGCAGGGCCTCCTTCAATCAGGCTCTCCTGGCCAGTGAATGATGGAGCATGGGTTCCAGCCTGACCCCGAGCTGACTCCCAGAGATGTTTGCTAAAAGTGTTTCTGGCTCTGTTGGGACATGTGTCCTTGGAGGCCTGCCATCTGGGCAAGGAAGGCCCAGCTTTATAGATCAATGTGACTTTTTAGAGTATGGCAGAAACCCAGGCAATCCCCAGTAATCCTCAGACACAGTTCCTGCCTAGGTGTGTGTGAGTGCAGCAGACAGAGAAAGACATGGACAGCCTGCTCCATTATTGCTCTTGAGACAGGCTGGAATAGTTTTCCAGGAGGACCCATTCACCTCCCTGAACCTGCTGGAGGGGAAGGGTGAGAATTAGAAATGAAGAGAGCTACCACACAGAGTGTTGATGAGGAAGGAAAGATATACAAAGCTTGCCTAGGATAATCTTAATTGTTGACAGTGGCCAAGTGCCACTACCCATCAGGCCAGGAACTAGGCTTTGGTACATGGTTTGGTTTATAAGGTTTATGATAGTGTTAGCACTCCCATTTTACAGAGAGGAAACTGAGGCTAGAGGCATTAAATGATTGTCTAGTGTCACAGTGAGTGCTGGAGCAGGTCTTCTAGTGCAGCAATTCTGGGACCCCCACACTATAGTGTTATAGAGTTGATGTTGCTCTCAAGGGAACATCTAATTTAGTCTCTTCATTGCCGGGGGTGTTGGGGTGTGGGAGGTGAGGGGCATTAAATGGAGTACTGAATGTCAGAGCCAGATGCTGGTCCAGAATAACTCTAAGGTTTATCTGCAGTGCTAGGGCTGGGGTGGAGTGGGGCAGGGGTAGGAGGCCTGGGGTACAGGATTTAAGGAGGCACTCACTTTCAAGGTGGCTCAAATGAAGCAGTGTTGCCCTCATTCCTCTCCATAGTCCCAGCCTCCACCAGAAGCTCTACTTTAACTGTCTAACAGAGGCCCAGGCACTACTTGTTCATTTGATTTGCTATCCCAAGGTTAGGAACTGGGGGTGTTTGTATGGAGTTTTATGGGGCCTGAAACCCCAAAGTAGACAGATTCCCTCCCTTCAGGTTGGTAGCACTGCAGTCCCAGCCCTTAGCAGACCAGAAGAATCCTGGTCTTACCAAAGCCATAGCACCAAGGGCCCATGGAAAAGGAGGCCTCTTCTCTCTTTGAACCCCAGGGGGCTGAAATGAGCAGGAGATATCCTGGTAGAAGACCCCCCCCCCCCCCAGACTGCAATGGGGACCTGTAGAGTGGCTTGTCCCAAAGCTGCTTTATTGTAAAATTCTTCCTTCTAGTGCTGGCAGCCAGCTGTCTCCAAGTGAGGGACTCCCCAGTTATGAGTTCAAGGAGATAGGGAGACACCCCACCCCTCCCACGTCGGGCTAAGCAGGGAAGCAGGAGTGAATCCCTCCTATCTTGGAGAGGTGTAGTAGGTAAAGGGGGTTCCTGCACCACTCGGAAGGTGTCCCCATCTCCTGACCTGGCCCTAAGTGCTGTAGTCTAAGGTGCTGTCATAACTGGGAGTTTTCCCCGTGCTCCAGGTGCACCTAGGCATTTTTCTGGGTCCTGGGTTGTAAGGATCGGAGCTGGCCTAAGTGAAGCTTGTGAGGCAAGTTCCTCGCTCTCGGGGCCTTCGTATTGTCATCCTACCAGGCGTGGCTCAGAGCGGCGTTTTGCATATTTTGACTTCTCATCCTTCCCTCTAGCCCAGAAGTTTCTCCAGCCCCGGTCCTCGATTTGTTAAAAGTCGGGCTTGGGATACCCACCTGGACCTTCTAGAAGGAATAGGTGCCCAAGGCACTTGGATCTCCCCGGAGGGAAGACGGGCAGAAAGGAGAAAAAGGAAACGCGAGGGATTAAAAAGAAGAGAGATAGAGAAAAGAGGGAACAGGAAGAAATGAGCAAGAGAATGAAAAAGATTGTGGGCGTAGGGAAGTCGGGAGAGAAAGAAGAAAAGCGGAAAGAGCGAGCCTGGAGAAGAGCGAGCGCGCGATCCCACGGTCTGAAAGGACCTAAGGGGGAGGAAGGGAGTGGGAGGAGGAGGGAGCGCGCAGGGAGGAGGGAAGAGAGAGGAGGAGGAGGGAGGGGCCGAGGGATGCAGGGGTGGGGGCTGGCGAGGCAGCAGCCGCCGCCGCTCCAGCCACTCGCTGGCAGGCTCACTCACTCGCGGTGCCTGCCGCCCGACTCCTGGCGGCTCGCAGCTCCAGCTCCTGCCCAGCGATCCGAAGCTGCTCTGGCTCTGAGGACCAGACCACGCAACTGGCTGGCCCTGGGCGAGCCTCGGAAGCAGGTAGATGGCTGGGTGGGGTCCGCCGGGACCGGGAGGCTCGGAGCACCCGGGAGCTGCAGGGTGCTGGACTGTGCGTTCCAGTCCCCGGGAGAGGGCTTTGCGGCGCCGCGACTAACTTTCCACCAGCTCCGTGGGTCCCCGGGCAGTCTCGGCTGGCTCCGGGCTCCAGGAGCTGAGTTTGGCGCTGGGGATTAGGTTGATGGCTGGGCTTGCGGGAGCGCCCGGGGGTCCGCATCGGATGTGGAACGCCGCGTGGGTCAGGCGCGCGCCCTCCGGCCGCAGTCAGGACGCAGCGGCCAGCGCGCCTCCACACGGTGGGGAAGATCCGGGAGTTGCGGCGCAACATGGGTGTCCCGGGGAGGGAACCCTCCAGCTGCCCACGAATTTGGGGAGTCCCAGTCCAGAGCAGCCCCGATGCAATCGTTTGAGTCTGGCACCACTTCTCCCCGCCGGGGTTGGAATGCAGAGCTGCGGGGCCGCGCGCAGGTCCCCGAAGTGCCCAAGCCCAGCGGGTGCCACGCGCAACGTGGATAGTCTTTTCTTTCTTATCCAGTCTCCCAGACTCCCTCTCAGGGAATCCCAGATACCTAACAGCCGGGCAGGTCGATCCCCTTGACACCCCTGCGACCCTCGGCGAAGACCCCAGAGCCCAAAGTTAAAAGAGAGCGAGTCACTCCCCGTGCGCTCGTGGGTGGCGGCCCCGAAGTTACCAACTTCTCTCCCGGCCGGGGGTTGTAATGGAGGTGGGGACACTGGAAGTCTTTGTGGCAGGGATTGGTTTATTCCCTTAATTTGTTAGAAAAAATGACTTAAAATAGGTAAAATCGTTCCTTGTGAGGGTCAAGGTCCGAGAGTGGAACCCGAGTCAAGAGCGCGGAGTCCCGGAGCGCGGCCTCGGCGGGGGGTGGGGGTGGGGTTCCTGGAGCCCAGTTCTCTCCTAGACCCGCCTCCCACGCTCCGGCCCGCTGTCGCCGCGTCCTGGGATCTGTCCTCGCTAGTCCGCGCCGCAAGGCCAGTCTACCTCCCCACAGGCTCGTAATACTCTGGAGAAAAACGGATCCAACAGATCCGAATCTCCCACGCTAGGTCCCTTCTGGACCAGTAGAGCAGGGCCTCTGGCGTATTGGAAGATGCTTTGGAGAGGTTTGGAGGTTCTGGGGCATCTCAGGTCGCTCTGGCAAGGGTACTTGGGCCCGGGCATCCGAACCCATCGTTCACTCTGTCGGGAAGACAGGGGTTAAAGTCCTGGCCAGGTGGCGGAGTGCTGCACAAGCCTGCCAGGGGCGCCGTTCCTCTCTCTGCATCCTGAGACTGGATTCACCCGCCAGTAAGGCTCCCCCGCTTCCCCTTTTTTGTTCGAGTGCTATCAGGAAGGGTCTCTTGAGAGGTTTAGCGCAGGTTTTGAGGCACCAAAACCAGCCGTTGCTCCACCTTCGAGGTTGGGCACAGTGCCCCAGCACACTGAAATTAACCAGCAGCCCGCCGCCCTGAGCTCCATCCTCTCTGTCCTTTGCCGGATTTCTCCGTGGTGTACAGTACATACTGGCTCTGCTATTGCTCACATATTTTTTAAGCTACTAGAAAATTGAAGTCTGCAATTGCAATTCTTGCCTTTTCCTCTCGTTTTACAGATCAGCAGACTGAGGCCCAGAGAAGCAAAAGAAAGCACTTGCTTAGAGCTTGCCAAGGTGGAAGGGAAATAATCCAGGCCTCCTGCCTGAGAGTTCAGGGCCTTTCCTGGCTCTCCACACCGACTTCATCCAGTTCTTAGCATGAGACAGGTGTTCCCCACTTAGGCCACTGCAGCATGGACAGGCTGGAGGGCCAGGGGGTGGAAGGTTAGAGACAGGACAACCATAGCATCTTCCAAGATGAGCCATACTTGGATAGTTTGCTGCATATGGAGTCTGTGCCTGCCCCATGGGCTGTGGTAAGGAGCCACAGACTTGGCTTTTCTGGGATGTGTGAGGCACAAGTGGAGGGCAAGGGGCCTGCTGTGTAGCCCTGACTGAGTAGGACAGACATTCTCAGCTGAAACCATTCCTGCAGAATCTGGAGTCTCACAGATTGTGCAGGCCTGGGCTTGAATTCTAAGCCCCAGGCAACTAAACAGTGGGCCAAGGACATCAGAGTCAGATACAAGGAGAACTGAAGTTCAGCACCTGGTCCAGAGGTTCACTATGTCTATGGAGGAGGAAGGTGAGCAGGTGGCCTTGAAGTCAGAACCCTGTGGACCCAGGGCCGAGACTAGCTAGGAAAGCTGCTTTTACATTTCTTATCGCGTGTCAGCCCAGCCCTCCACTTTCAGTCATTGCTTTGCCCCTTTCCAGCTCACTTTTGGAAAGTGAGATGATTCAGAGGATAAGGGTGCTTGTCACCAAGCTTGACAACCTGAGTTTAATTCTGGGGACCCACATAGTAGAAGGAGAGAGCTGACTTCCCTGAAGTTGTCCACTGACTTCCACATGTGCTTAGCAGCAGGTATTAGATACTCTCTAAATAAATAAATAAATAAATAAATAAAAAAATAAATAAGAATCTAGGTGATTGGTTTTTCTGGACTTTGTTCAAGTTGGGCATTTCCTGTCTTAGGGATACTTGTGCTAAGCACTGTGTGGGCCCTGGGGCCCCAGCCATGAACAGATAGGGACATTCCCAGCTCATTATGCTGGTATTCTAGGCCCTGCCCTCCACAGGCTTACAGTCTAGTCATAGGAAGGAGGTACATATACAAAGACAACCAAAAATCTGTCAAGTTACAGATGGCCCCCAGCCTCCCCTCTAGTGGCTTAAGGCTTTACAGGTGACAAGGTCTGAAACAGCTTTTAGGTTTGGAGAGTCTGTGAGCTTCCATGTTGTGCAGGTCCTGGTTGCCAAGGGTGACCTAGAACAGCTGTATTGCTGACCTTAATTGTGACACCAGAGAACTGTGCTGTAGAGTTTCTGCCAGTCAGAGTGTGGCAGGAGGGAGCTGGAGCATGCTGGTAACTGTGATCCTGCTAGGTCTCCATAGAGACTGCTGCCAGGTGATCGTATGCCTCTAAACACAGCTGTTTGGTAAGCTCTGGAGCCCCACTGCACAGATAGGTAAGTGGAGCCCCGAGTCTGTAGATTGAGGTAGCTGTGCAATTTGAGGGCCCAGATGGAATCCAGGTATCCCTGATGGCCTAGAGTTAAAATGATGCCCTTCTGGTCTGGGGTGATGGCTCAGTTGGTAAAGTGCTTGCCATGCAAGCATGAGGACTTGAGTCTCAGTCCCAGAGCCCCCATAAAAAGCTGGGCGTAGCCAGGCGCGGTGGCACATGCCTTTAATCCCAGCACTCGGGAGCAGAGGCAGGTGGATCTCTGTGAGTTCAAGGCCAGCCTGGTCTACATAGTGAGTTCCAGGACAGCTGGGGCCATAGGGAGACCCTGTCTCAAAAAGACAAAAAGACAAAAAAAAAAAAAAAAAAAAAAAAAAAAAAAAAAGAAAAAAAGAAAAAAGCTGGGCATAGTGGTGGGTGCTTGTAATTTCAGCGCTGGAGAAGCAGAGTCAGGAGGATCCCTGTGACTTGCTGGCCAGCCAGTTTAGCCTAATGGGCAAGCCCCAGGTCCCAGTGAGAGACCCTGTCTTAAAACACTAGGTGGAGCGCTTCTGAGGAAAGATGCCTGAGGTGAATCTCTGACTTCTGCATGCATATGTACATGTGCAAACACATGCACACACACAAAATAAAATAAATAAATAAATAAATAAAAATAAAACTGGAAACTGTAGATGCCTCAGTATGGGGGGGAGCTTATGGCAACACAGTTCTTGGACCCCCGCCCTCAGTTTCTGATTCAGAGGGTCTGGGGTGGGCTTGGTAATTGGCATTTCTAACCAGCCATGCTGATGCTGTGGGAACCACACTTTGGGATCCAGTGTGGGAAACAGAGGAATTTGAGTGATTTTCTGGAGACTCATTACAAGGTTGGGGGTTGGGAAAAGGCTGTGATTTATCGCCTAAATGTGGTCCCCTCCCCCCACCCCCAGGTGGCCATAGAATTAAAAGAATATTTTATCTTCATCAGCACACACACACAGAGAATATATTGCCGTGTAATTAGGGAATAAATAGGTGTTGTGCGTTGGCTGTAGACTCAGTGCCCTGTGGCTCTGCAGGGGTTTATTAGAACCCTGTTATAATTGAAAAGGTGTCAGCCAGTCCCCAAGTCCCTCATGAAATTTTCATGGCCAAAGTGGTCACTGTCCAGTAAGGAATGCTTTCTTCATTTCAAAGAAGGGCACTGGGCCGGGGATGTGGTGCCATTGGCAGAGTGCTTGCATAACTTGCATGAAGCCTTAGGTTCGAGTCCCAGCACTGTATAAACCAGATGTGGTGGTACACAACTGTAATCTCAGCACTCAGGAAGTAGGAGTGGGAGGATCAGGAGTTCAAGGTCATTCTGAAGTATGTTGCAAGTTCAAGGACAGCCTGGACTGTATGAGACCTTGTCTTAACAAGGAAGGTAGGAAGGAAGGAAGGAAGGAAGGAAAGAAGGGAGAGAGAGAGGAAGAGAGAAGGGAAGATGGGAGAGAGAGAGGAAGGGAGAGAGGGAAGGCGGAAAGAAGGAAGTCGGTGAGATTGCTTCTGCTAATGGGACTAACTCTGTTTCATTTGACAGTTACTGTCTGCAAGGTGTTCTTAGGGGACAGGGAAAAAATATGGAAGAGTAAGTACGCGCAGAGCAAGGCTGTGCGAAGTCCCAGCACAGGCTCACAGATGGGTGTGTTGGAACTGTCTGTCTGTCTTGAGTTTCTGACTTGAAGCTGAACCTCAGCAGGAGGTAGAGAGCCCCTTTCCACCTAGCTGATGGTGCACATCTACTAGCACACTTTATCCGCTGTGTGTTAATTAGGCCCCAAAGAAAAGAATCATAAAAGAGTTGTTCTCCTAAATGCTGGCATTTTTCATCTGGATTCTATTTATCGATTATTTTACAGTCGAGAAGGAACAGCAATCCATGTTTTTTTTTGT